AGGCCTTCATTATCTCTGCCATAATCCCACTTTAGATTGTATTGTGATTGTATGTGTATATGTGCCTTTCTCCTTTATTAAACAGTGAATTTCTTCAAGGCAGAGACTAATTTAGCCTTGTTATTTCCATGTCTTAAGGCTTAGTATAGAGTGTGACTCAGTAGGCAAAGAAGTATTTGAAGTACTGATTATAAAGAATCATTTTCAAGTTTATTAATTTAGTTCTCTAAGGCTCTCCACTTGTACAGTTGAAATTTTATGTTTTTAATAAACCTGTATTTTAAATTTTTTGTAGCTCAGACTTTTTACTAATTTAGAATAGCACAACCTTTGTGAATACAAATTAGTTTTTTCTCTTAGTTGATACTCTCCTTGAATCAATATAACTAATACCCATTTTATCAGGTTCAGAGAAATCAAGTGACTCAACTAAATCCAATCCTACCCCTGCCTCCAAGTAGGACTAGAACTCGCATTTGCTCATCCCAGCCAAGTGCTTTTTCCTCGAAAAAAAAAATAAAAAGGGCAGGAAATTAAATTTTTATAGAAAATTTTTGTCTGGAGAGGTGAAGTGAATAGAATGTCAGCAAAAGCCAGAAGCATCGTAATTTGAGGTGATAGAAATTGAAGCGATAATTGAATAGGTAGGTACTACCATCTTGGGTGTCTGGGGCACTTGAACATTGGAGTGACTAGCATAGAGCACACCTTTTCCAGGTTCCGTCAGCATTTGATCAGGGAGTCCTACCTAGCAAGAGTGTTAAAAATGGAAACCATGTCTTTCCACTCCTTGTCGGAGGCTGCAGAGCATAATGTTTAAGCACTCTGGTGTCAGACAGACCTGGGTTTGAGTCCTAGCTCTGCCTCGCAATCATCGCGTGACCTCAGATAAGTCACTTAATTTCTCTAAACCTCAGATTTCCTCATTTGCAAAATAGAGATCATAATAGTACTTAACTCCAAAAGTTGTAGGAAGGATTGAATGAGATAACACGAATAATGTTTAGTACATGCTCTGGTTCAGAATAAGCATTATGCAAATGTAAGTTATCCTTGTTTCCCCCATTTCTGTACCTGGGAATAATATTCTAATACAGTTAAAGATAATAATTACTTTAATTAGAGAATGAAAGAGATAATCAAATCGGAGGGAATGCGTAGATTTCAAAGCAAGGGTAATGGTTAAAGCAGAACATTCTCTCACCCCTGACTAGTTAAAATACAATTTGTGATATCGCTGACGTTACAATATACCATCAAAGTCATCTTCATAAATATAGTTTAAGTGAGAAGTCCTGTTTGTTTCCCTTCCAGTTTGGGAAGTTTAATGTGTGATATCCACTGTCTTGTCAGTATGGTTTTCCAAGTGTCATTATCTTTATCATCATGTATGTCCAACATAGTGATACCTGATTGTTAGTTGGTTTTCAACTAAGCCTTTTGGGGAGTTTTATTTTATTTGTAATCACTTATTGAAATTGTATAGGCTTCTGGATTCTTTCAACAGCTAATGGTGGTACTGTCACTAAGTGCTGTGGTTCATACTGCAGTTGTTCAGAATAGTCCTCGTTTTCCACTGTGATAGCTTGGAGTATAAAAATTGATTTTAAAGTAAAAAGAGTTGTTTTATAGTGGCAACTTTAAAAAAAAATAGAGCAAAGCAGCTCTCCTTACTGTGAATGAAACATGCATATATATTTATAGCATCATCCAAGGACCATTGCGTGAACCTTGTCTGGCATATTAGTCTAAAATAAAATTGTAGATTAGGCATTGTGTCTTTCTTTGAGAGTTCTTTACGCCATTCTTTTATGATTTAAAACAGCTCTGCCACTTCCTGTATAACGTCATGTTTCTAGATTATTTTCTGTGGGTTTTTTTTTTTTTTTTTATGTAAATCCTTTCACTTGGTGCTATTTTTCTTGTCTAAAAATCCTTATCTGAGAAGTGTTTTTAACTCTTTTCAGAAGACCACTTGGAAATTATAGATATTCAGGCCAAGGTTAAGCAGCTCATGGTGATGGTGATTTTGAATGGTATTCACATTGCTAATATAACTAAGAAAATATAGAGGTACCAACCAAGCTGAGGTGGAAGAGACACGTAGAGAATGTGGGCTGGGATAAAATATGGCAGGAGGAGAAGGAAACACCATTTCTTCCCTTTTCTGTGCAGAAAAGGCATTCCACCTCTCTTTGGGGACTCCCAAGTTGCCACTACCCTCTCTTGATTAAATTCTCTCCAATTGTGGTTCCCCACCTAATGTTCAGAAAGGTCCCCACATTGTCTTTCCATCTTTTTTCCCTTCTTCTTCGCATTAACATTGTGTCTATTTCCTTTGTGTAGATTATATATTTCTATAAAGATTTAGGAAGAAAATGATATTCAACGAAATACAAAAGCCCCCCTTTACAAGTCCCAGTATTTGCATTTTCAAAGAGAAACTTGTTCAAATCAACCTCCAACTGATAAGTTTTCAAATTGTGTGACAAAAAATTGGGATGGGGCATGGCATTTTTTTCTTGACTGAAACTAAGTCTTTGCTATACTGTGATCAGCTCCTTGAAGTTGTTTATATTTGTGGTAGCTTCTCTGCTCTTAACTGTATTTCCGAACTCCTAGGTTTTCCAAAAGTTCTGTATGCGCATGTCAGGATTTTTTTGTGTATGGGGATTGATGTAGATGACAGTTTTGTTTTCATAACTCACTGAAAACCCCCACAACATTATCCTAACCTGAGCAGCCCTCTTGGATGGCAGCGAGACTATCAGAAATTTTCAGGTCTCATTTTCACCCAAGACAGAGATTTAAGGAACTCTTAAATAGGGGTGAACAAACAAATGACATATCACACTAAAAGATTGCTAACTCCTAAACTTAATTGCTCTGGACTACTTAATAAATATAGATACTAGAAGGCAAATTACAATCAAAATGGCTTAAAGATATAATCTTGAATTTTTAAATAATCTTTCGAATAATTGCCAAAAAATTTTTACCCACTTCAAAGTAAAATATTTATTTCTTTCATTCTAACTGGAAGCAGTTTTGACCCAAAGGTATATAATGTATGACTGCTTTGGTCTCCCCAGCCCTATGTGTAGGCACTCACAGAACTGGATATAATTATACAGTGTAATAGTCCTTTTCATGTGATGAGGGCAAATTACATAGTATTAATAGAAACTTAACAATTCAAGTAATACCATATGTCCTGTACTCTCACCTTAGTGTTATCCAAGTGAAATCATTGTTGAGATGAATATTCTTAATTCACAAGACCCATTTAGTATATGGAATCCTGCTGGAAAATATGTTACTTATTTAAAAGAAATCTTCACACCACTCCCACCCTCAGTGTATTCCAGAGATACTTTGAAAACTACGTAAATCATCAAAGACATCGCATTTCTTTCTGAATCATAGTCACCCTATATTAGAAACCAGTACAAAGTAAGTGAGCATTCTAGGTCAGTAGGCCCCTCTAAACCTGGGCCTATCGTTACGTAATATGTCATTCAGATGTTAGTGAATTTCAAAGGTTATAAATGGCGAAGTGCTATATGCAGTCCCAAAGCCATGGTCAGATATTACTGGCCAAATCCTACATAGAAAACATTTCCTGATTGTTTAAAAATAGAGAGATTATAGCTTGTGTCTTAATGGAAAAGGTAAGAGGCAATTTAGGTAGAATATGCTTGTCTGACTATTTAGATTTATGTTACCTTCAGTTTTGTCAAAAGCCATTTTTCTAGGCATAATAAAAAGAGACTTCTGACTTAAAATGGAATCGAAGATCATTCTCACTTGAGCAGGAACTCAAAAGAAAAGTGGACAACATAGCAGGGTAAAGTCAATACCAGACCTCTTAAGTTTTTTGTTGTGGTCTTTCACATGATAGGACTCTTGTTGAAATTTTTTAAATACATAATTACTCTTTTAAAGCACTCTAATTATATGAGTGCTTAATACCATTTACCGTCATTAGATACAGTATTGGCAACAAAACTACACTGCAGCAGGTAGTTGAAGTTACATTTCAACTATAGTATGAAATTTTTAATGCATTTATGTATCTAAGTGATATAAAATTGTCAGGTGTTATCTTTGGGAATAGATTGTCCCATTTCCGTAGCTACTTTAATTCTTATTAAACATAGTGTCTTTATTATTCACTTCAATTTTTACAGAGCTAGTTTGTTTTATTTTTAGCAAGCAGGATTTAACTACACAAATTGACTTTTCTATAAATTCTAATATTCCATCATTCTCACTTACCTAGTTGTATATGCCAGGCTTCTCAAATAAAAACTTCTTAGGGGTGTTTTATTACCTAACCTTACTATACCAAAGGCCAATTCTTATTCTTAGGTACTTATCTATGAGGGTTATAGATGTTAACATGTCATGTACTTTGTTTAGAAAAAAAATAATCCATTTCTTTCCTACATCTCATTCTGGAAGATTCTATCCAATGGAATGCAACACAAGACACACTAAAAGGAGGCCCTGCTTCATGGAATATGGAAGTTTTAAGGCAATGGAGTTCAGCTCTTATTTGTAACGTAAAATAGAATTATTTGCCTTTGTTCTTTTTTTTTTTTTTTTTTTTTAACACTCTCTCCTTATCTTTCTCCCATTCTTCTCCCCTCAAAAAAGAATCTTACAGCTGGCTCTCAGAGTTTTGAAGACAACCTTTTCCCCTTTTGGAGGGGACAGGCGTTAGGTTTAGAACTTGACAGTGTTAAAGCATTGACATAATCAGTTTTACACAAATTATGTGTTAGCTAGAAAACTGAGGAACATTCCTTACCAAGCCGTGACAATGTACTGCCGTAACTTAATAAAAATTGCCCAAGTGACAGTGTGTCTGCTGAATGGATTTTCCTTCACCATCTGGTTGTCATTGTAGTTTTTTGTTGTTGCTTTCATTTGAAATGTGCTGATGATATTGTTTTTATTCCGTAGCATTGAACAGATGGGTTGATTATTCTTTTCAGATATTAATAAGGCAGCGGAAAGAAGAAATATGAATACGGCTCCATCAAGACCCAGCCCCACACGAAGGTAAAGTACCCTGAAGCAGTGAGTTACCTTGGGAGAGTTGGGCTCTGGGGAGTTAAGCCCAACTTCGTACATCAAGGGTCTTTTCTTCCCCCCAACAAATCAGAAAAGCTCAAGCAAACAATAAGAACATGAACCATGTGTGAAGGGCCTTGCTGCTTTTGTTAAACATACATCAGGAGATGCAGAGGAAGCATTGTGTTTTCGGTGGCAAACCCAGCAAGTTCAGTTTGCAACATGAGTTGCAGGCGATTGGAAGAGGATAAACCTCTGTCTGTCCCCAGCTCACGTGTCAATGAGAGCCTCCACAGAAGGAGGAGTGTCCCAGGGTCGTTGGTGTGTGTCACGCTGCACTGCAGCGGGCAGCAGAGATTCAACTCTTCATTCCAAATGGCTGACGGTCCAGCTGATAACCCAGGTTTATGGAAAGTGCTGCTTGAGAGATTGCTACTGTCTGTGCCTGAGCTGCAGATCCCGTTTGCGCGCATGCGTGGGTTACCTACCGAGGGTAAATAAAAAGGGCGAAAACACTCCACCTCTCAAAAGTCTTCCTTTTTCTTAGCTTTCCTGGAAATAAAGGCATTTTCCCAATATATTTTGTCTTCCAGTATATACAAAAGAGATAGTCCTGATGTGTACCTGGAGATATGCATTAAATTGGCCCCTTCTCCCAAAGAAGAGCCTTATTAACGTTACCGTTTACACCAAAGATGAGTATATTGTGGCCCCATAACAGTACACAAGCGGATGCACTGTGTGCAGTTTTATGTGAAATGAAGACCGATATATTTCATACCTGGTGTCTCTTCATGGCCCAAGTGGATTTTGCCTTTGTCCCTAAGTAAAAATGCCAACTTCCCACAGTAAACTATATACCAAAACTACATACTACGGTAGACTATATTTCCTACAATGAACTGAACACTGCTGATTACCATGAACCCTAGTCCGTACTGGTAGCTCCACAGGTCACCTGGGAATATACCAAGCTGAGCACTTACACATAACATACAGCTATCTTGCTTTGGGACAAAAACCACCTATGTTTTGTTACCCACTTACAGGAAAGAATTGCTGCTGTATGTTTGATGTATATGTCCCCACTTGGATGTGAAGGGTGGGTATTTTCTAAGCTACGAGAAATAGATTACACGATTCTGATCTGCAGAGTTCAAGCAGACTCTAGGGGCAAGGTAATGCTGCCAATTGCAGTTGTATTCTTTGAGCACTCTGCCTGCTCAGAGGAGTTGAATCTTGACACCATAGCTACAGCTACCCCAAAGCTATCAGGTGGATGCCCCAGTCTCACTGCAGAAGTGAGCATATACATCGGTATGCTGTCTGTTCTCTCTGACACCATAAAGAATGCCTGCAACTTGCAGGTAAATATTTTGTTGGTTGATTTTTGTGGGTATGTTTGAGTATCCTGAAGAACATAAATGAATCCTGCAGAACTTCAACGGTTCTGTATAATATCTACTTTCGTTATGCTGCATCTAACCGTGCTGCAGATGTTGGACAGTCCCATCTGTGTTGCACCTCATTGCCGCAATAAACATGGAGTACAGTAGGCTAAGAGTTTGCATCTAATGGTCAGAAATATGGACTCCCATTGGAAACTATGGTTGCCAAATGGCTCGAAAGGAGGTAGGATGTGTATCCAATTTCCAAGGAGCCTCCAATGTGTATGTTTCTGAACTAGGTAGCTTATGAGAAAGAATGTGGAATTGATAACTATAAAGACACCGACTCCACTAGTAAAGTCCCCCCCACTCTGTTGTCCCCATGATGCTTATGATCACTAGATAATGTCTGTGTGTTTCTGCAAAAAAACAAGCAGACCAAAAAAAAAAAAAATTGCAGAATACAGAGTAGTTCATGTTTGCGATAGGAATTGAGAAGAATATTTTATGTCATCCTATTAATGATAGTTGACCAAAAAATGCTTTTAACATTTTCAATTGATTGTAGCTTTCAACAAACATTGGCAGTGTTGGGGAAATAACAAGCTCCCCTGGTTGGAATCCAGTGTAGCCATTGCCAGGTCATTAAATTTAAAAGGTTAATTTCATCTGTAATGGAAGAAATAGCTTTGTGCCTTTTTTTCTTAATACTCCTCACCACCCACCCAAAAAAAAAGACACAGCATTGTAGGGCATTTTTAAATGTTCTCCCTCCCAGATACATAAATATATGTCACTTTTATATACCTTTTAAAATAACACCTTCCTCAGAAATAAATTGTAAAACGAGGTTGTTGGGGCTGTGGATAGGGCAGTGGTTTCCTGCTTTATTTATAGTCAGTAGAAGGGAGAGAGAGGCTAATTCAAATTCCATTAAGAATCAGTCTTCCCCTGGGTGATATGTCCCTAACTGGGCTCCTCAGCATGTTATTTAACATGGTGAAGTTTCATACAGTCATGCTTAATAAGGTTCAGGGAAGAGGGATGTTCACATTTAGTAAAATCTATTTCGAGCTTCATCTGAAACCTGAGCAAAGAGTCCCAGTTTTTTACCATTAAAAATAAAAATTTTAAAACCCAAAAACCAGACAAACTGAATATTTTATTCAAAATAGAACAACATTTTGATTATTGCCGTGATCATGCATTATCTCGTCAGATATACCAGTAGGGCAGGAATGAAATGCAGTTAGGCAAGATGGGAGAGTGGTTAGCCTGGAAGGGGCTGACCATTTCCCTGAAGGTGAACACTGGACATCACTCTTTCTTGGAGTGCATGCCTCCATTCAAAAAAGCCTTGAAGTAAACCGAAGTATACCAGTATTTTGACAGCAACCAAACTGCCTTCATTTGGCAATCATAATCATTTGATGCACCCCCAGCCACGGGGAATGCAGTAGGGACTGGGGAGTGTACGACACTGCACCTGTGGCAAATATTTCCTTCAAGCTATACCTTTATGTGTTCAGTGCTGCTACTTTTAAATTGTTTTCAAGCATGCTGGCAAGACCTTTGTAACACCTTGTATTGCTGGACTTTAACCTTGAGTGTTAAAACACCTAGGTATCTTTGGGAGTTTTCACAGGATTATCACCTCTTCAAATGTCTCTGTAAGCCACAGTTCTGCTGGCATGGCTCTCTGTTCAGTAATGTGTTCCCTAATGACTCCAGCTGTCAGTGCGTAATTCTGACAATATTGGCCCAGCCAAGCACAGAATTCTGCATCAGAGATCCCTGTTCTGGACCAGATTTCAACCTGAATTCTCATCTAACTCTTGGACCACTTCATTTGATTCCTTTGGGTATATCGCATAGTTACAATGCAAGTTGTCTAGCATTGGTGCTAGGCGTTAGTCCTTCTTCAAAGACTGGACCATGATTCTGGTTGTACCTCAGATGTTCTCAGTTTCCATCCGTAGATCAACACTTTGGCAATCCAGGTCTTGGAGCATACCCCTACACAGCCATGGCTTCCAAGTGAGACTGAATTTCTTCAACCTTCCCATGTGACCTAAAGAACAAACAACTCGTCTACATCAAAAGCTCTGCAGAGAGTTTTCTTCATATTTTCATTAAGGATGTTAGGCCTGGTGCTTCTTTGGTGAATGTCATCGAGCACTAGGTTCATCAGAAATAGCCTACCTGTAGACAAGTTTCTTATATGGCCTGAGATGGTTTCTACCTATCCACAGTGTTAATTCTTTTGATAACTGCTTGCTCCTTGGATGTTTGGATGTGAGACAGCCCTAGCTCTAGGTGGGCCTCACAATTAAAGATTCCAGGCTCCGATTACCTCTACACTGACACTTAAGAAGAGTCTTCAGTTCTCAGCAAGTGCCACCTCCACCAACAGAAAAGTCATAGTTGTGCTTGAGAAGATCATCAGCATGCTTCCAAGAAAGATATGGGCACTTACAAAATTTGGATTTGTAAAATGTGCTATATCATTGCACTCCATATCCTACCTGGACCTAATGGCAAAATTTCGCACATATCTGTTGCCTCCGTTTCTGACAGTAGCATGGAGCCATCGTGGTGGGGGATCAGCATCACACAGCAGCCAGCCATTTAGATAATTATATTTGTGGACAGTATCTGTGACAATAGAAGTACGAAGAGCTGATGAAGGATTTTTTTTTCAGGAGCAAAAAAAAAAAGAAAGGCTGGCCCTCCCAAGGAAAATATTCCTGTGAACAGAAAGGAGATGCTGACAAAAGGACAGAGGCCTTTCTTGACTTCCTGTACAGCCAAGACCAAAGAACCGTCCTGGGCTTGAGATTTCAGCCTCTGGCCAAAGACAAACTCGAAGTCCGTCACAGTCTTCAAGAGAATCATCTGTCTGTTCTTACTCTGTAGGCTCGCAAATGAATAGTACCCTGCACACCCCTTTAGTCCCCAGGAAGCAAAGCCGCAATACCGGAAGCACATCACTTGCCTGCCGTTTGAGCCAGGCTTTTCCCTTCACCCATCCCTCCCTCCCCTCTCAAGTGTTTCCAAACGATATGGCTATATTTCTCTCAAAGCAAAGAGCATTTGGCTATTTTTCCCTACGGAATAGATGAGAAATACATAACAATTTTAGTAGTGTTTGTCACCTGTCTTCAGTTTGTGAGTGCCAATGCTGAAATTAATTTAACCACCATTTAGTTTCTTTTTAGCCTCTAAGTGACCTGGTACGTGAGAGTACACTGCATATGGTCTCCAGTAAAACACCTCTGGTGCCATGGGATGATATTGTGAACCTTCTTATGTTCCAGAAGCTTGCTTCTAACCCACTTGGTATCTGAGATCAAGCATCTCATTCAGCAGGCTTCCTCCTTGGGGCACTCTGACTGCTGCACACTGTACCACCCTTTTGATAGCTGGTTGTTGCTTTGAGAAGGATGTTGCGGGGCGGGCAGCAGCAGGAGCCCTTGGAGTCCTTTTGTCCTGGGGGAGTTCTTTGTTTGGGTCCTAAAGTGACCCTAAAGGGTTTTTTGTTTTGTTCTTGTCTTCAGAAGAACAGCAGTCTACCATGCTGCTCATCTTTTGAAGAAAGGAAAATAGCTTAACCTTTCTTTTCATTTTAGAGAATTATTATCTTCTCTGTCCCTACTTCTACTATTCCTTTGGTTTTTTTTCTCCCGTGTGAATATCATCTCTTCTACATTTTTACCCAGAAGGCAATCGAAAGGGAATTAGTAGCTTTGTTGCACATGGACTTTCATTGAGGGAAGGGGGAGTGCTTGCCTTCACAAACTGGAAGCATGAACCCAGGCTTTGGGAATTTAGGTTATCGGTCAACCTCCAGGAATGAACTCTGACAGGTAAGTAAGGTATTTTCAGTGGATTCTAAAGAATGAGAACCAAATATGGCATAATTATCCTAAAGCTGTGAATAACCATGCCGTGACATGGAGTTCTTATCTGCATCCCCACCCCTACTTCCACCAGCCTGAGGCTTTTTGTGTGGTCTGTGGCCAGTCAGGCTCATGATCTCTTTCATCTCTGATTGCCAAGAACACTTGAAATCTGATTCCACCTCTAATGACTACTTCTAACTGCTCCCCAAGGCAAGTTTATCTGATGATCATTAATCCAAAAATACTTTACAGTTGTCTCTTCCCATTGGGTTCTGAGTGTTTTCCCACATTATATACTATACAGATGTTGCACACGTTGGGAGGATTATATGATATAATAAGAAAAATTGAAGTAAGAATCTTGCTTAGTCTGCACTTTGTTCTAATAAAAAAAAAAATGTTTAGGTGTCCTCATTTAAACTCCCTGATGTCCTCTATGTTTGCTTCCACAAATCAGGAGTACTTGTGAGCCTTAAAGCATATGACAAGGACTTTCCATAGGAGCAAAATCGGCATTTGAATTGTTCTTGCTGTGTCCAAGTGGATGAAGTGAAATTGAGGTTTTCTACCAAGCTAATGGCATCATGATGGTTGCCTAATATGTGTACTCATGGTAGATAACAAAAAGATAAACAAAACAGGACTCCTGCTCTTGAGAGGCCTTGCAGTTTAGTTGAACAATCGATTAAACATTTCATGAACTCCATGCTGTGTCCAAGGAATAAAAAGCCTCTACTGTTTAGTAGGGAGGCCATGTAAACAATTACAGAACAGTGTGATAAGGGCAGTAATAGAAGTATGTACAGGAGGAAGAATCATTCAATGTATTCTTGGGGCATCTGCATGCCAGACATGGTGGGGTGGGGTTTATAGTGGAGAGTAGGACACAGACAGACATTGAACAAGTAAGTAGGTCAAATTGTGACAAATGAGAAGTAAAAGCAGTGCTATGAGAGGATGTGGCCAGGATTTAGGGGCAGAAGATACACTTTTAAACTAACAATCAAGGAGTGAGAGAGAATTAGGCTGAGACATAGAAAATGAGTATGCATCCGTGCCTGCCGCTCAAGTTAAGGCTTCAGAAAAAACCTTGGCTAGATATAGCTGAAAGATCAGTAGGGCAAGAGAGCGGTAAAATAAAGAGAGGGTGAGATGGGGTTGGAGAAGACAGGCCAAGATTTTAACTAGCCTTACTAGAGATTTTGGATTTAATTCTAAATAATCTTGGGAACCAGGGAAGGGTTTTGCATATTTAAAAGATCACTCTAGAGTAATCTGGAGAAAGACTAGAAAAGAGGCAAGAGCAGAAATGAGAAAACTACTTTAAAAGACTTGCCGTGGTTTTAGGGAAGGCGATTGTGGATTGACATTCAGTGGTATCACTGGAGGTGAAGAAATGTGGGCAGAATAGATAGCATTTTCAGAAAAAGAATGAACAAGAGTTTGAATATGTGATTGGAAGAGTGAATGGGGCTTTAAGGAAAGGATGACATCCAGCTTCCGGGCTTGAGTAACTAACTGAGTAGATAGATGTGGCATTTATTCAAATGGAAAGGACTGGAGGAGGAGCATATTTGTTGGGGAAGATCAAGAGTTCAGGGCAGGTTTTATGGAGGAGGTAATACTTAATGTGGGCCAAACTAGAAGACGTTGTAAAAAGGTAGCTACCAGATCAAGATGAGTAATAGAAATAAGTGCTCTAAGAGTTGAGCAGGAGGAGAGATCAGTAGTTACTAGAGAAATTAGAGATCATTTCTTGGAAAACATGAAACATGAGCTTGCCTGTGAGGATTGGATGATTCTTGGATTAGTGCAGGAAAATATTCCAAGTCGAAAATCATATGAACAGAAATACTGAGATAGTTATGTCGTGCGAGTTAAATCATAAGAACAGCTAAGTAGGACCAAGTAAGTTGAATCAGGAAATGGAGGAGAGGTAATAGTTGGAAAGAGGCCGGATTTGTTAGGGAGGAGTGCCCAGAAGAGTGAGAGTCAAGCTGCAGTTGGTAACAGGTGATAATTTGGGTGATTGGTATGGTATTTCTGTGTTGAATGAATTGAAGTCTGGAAGGCTGGTTTTTGTTTTTGTTTTTCGGAAAGTTGTTGCTGCCAGGATAGATATAAGGATTTGGGTTGAATTTATGAATCCAGTGAAAAGGAGAAACGAACAGGATTCAGGTGACTGAACGAAGATAGGGAAGGAAGAATCAAAGTTAACTTTGAAGAACTTAAACCTTGGTAACTGGTTAGGTGATTTTTGGCAGAAGCGAAGAAGTCAGGAATGGGACTGAATGGGTTGAATAAGAAGTTTAATTTTAGATATGTCGAGGTTGAATTTCCAGTGGAGTGGAATGTGTCATGAAGATTACTGAATCAGAGCAGGCCCGACATATCTGTGACTTCAAATGCTGTTTAAAAAACAAACCTTGGCAAAAAGGAACCAGGTTCTACATAAACCTAGAGGAGGAGTATATTTGCTGGGGAAGATCAAGAGAGAGAAATTGAGAGTGACCACTCTCAGTAACTGTGAGAAGACAAACTGAGTGTTCTTATGCTATTCTGTGTGGATCATATTGTATTTTTTTCCCTTTAATTTGATTATCCTGCTAGACATTTTAAGTGAAGTTTTCTGCACTTTAAGACAACTCTTTCGATCACCATTACTTTGTATGAGATTGTGCCATTTGTTCCTTTTTTCTTCATGAGTCTTTTCCCTTACTGTGTCCCCCCAACTTTTTCTCGCTTTTAAAATCTCTTTCAAACAAGTCTGGTGGGAGAAAATAGGTTCTACGGAAAAGACGCTTTCACTTTGAAAACCTGTTGAGATTGACATGATAGTTTGGCACGCATAAGGAATACCGAATTACTTACTCCCTGAAGCCTGATAAATACTGTGACTCTAGTCAGAACCTTTGGCTTTGGGTCATACATTCTTCCTTTGTCCTAATCTTTTGAGATCCTAGAACCTACTAGTCTTTATTTGCTGACCAAATGGGTGGTTGTCCTTAAAATTTTAGTCACATTCTCACTGTTTGGCTGCCATGTTTTAGAGGAAAAACGCTTGGAGGGTGAGAGCTTCCTCCAATAAATAGCTGAAGGGTTAGCTACCTTCATTTTTCTTTGTCTTAGCATTTTTTTGCTACCTTCTACAGAGATCCATATGGCTTTGGAGACAGTCGAGATACAAGACGTGATCGATCCCCAATTCGAGGAAGTCCGAGGAGAGAGCCCAGGGATGGCAGAAATGGGCGCGATGCCCGGGATAGCAGAGACCTGCGGGACCACAGAGATAGAGACATTCGTGACCACAGAGACAGCAGAAGTATGCGTGATGCTCGGGACATGAGGGATCTTAGAGACTTGCGTGATCTAAGAGACTCTAGGGATTTTCGAGATCACCGGGACCCCATGTACGACAGATACAGAGATATGAGAGACTCCCGGGATCCCATGTACAGGTACAGATACAGCTATTCCGCTTGTTTTCTTAAAACAGTCTTTTTTATGGGTGTTTTGCGAAACGAATTGAAAGCTCTGAAGGGCGATGACTTTATCAGCCTTATATTTCCATTATCTTTCAAGTGCTAGATATGCTGTTCAATAAATATTTACTGAAATGTGTGAATGTTTGATGAATTGTGCTTAACAATGAATGTGAGCATCGCTGTGCTATGAAGGGCAATGTTGTGCAGAAGGAAAAAAGTGCAAATTGTTTTGGTAGTATAGGGGCACAGGGGAGGCAAACAAACGACCAATGAACGCACGAAAAGATGCTCGACATCATTAGTCTTTAGGGAGATACAGATCAGAGCCACAGTGAGATACTACTTCATACCTACCAGGATGGCTTTTTTTTTTTTTTTTTGAGAAAACAAAATAGCAAATGTTGGTGAGGTGTGGAGAACTGGTAGGTATGTAAAGTAATGTGGCCACTGTGGAAGACATTTTGGTGGTTCCTCAAAAAGTTAAGTATAATGGAATTACTAAGACTCATCAACTCCACTCCTGACTATATCCAAGATAATTAAAAGGAGGGACTTAAACAGATACTTGTATGTGAATGTGCATAACAGCACTGTTCACAGTAGCCAAAAGGTAGACACAACATAAATGTCCATCAGTAGATGAATGGATAAAAAATGTGATCCATACAGTAGAACATTATTCAGCCATAAAAAGGTTTTTAATTCTGACACCTGCTACAACATGGTTGGACCTTGTAAACATGCTGAGTGAAATAAGCCAAACAGACACAGAGGACAATTATTATACCACTTATACAAAGTATCTAGAAAAGGCAAATTCATAGAGATAGAAAGTAAATTAGAGGTTACAGGGTTGAGGAATAAAGAGTTAATCCTTAATGGGTACAGAGTTTGTGTTCAGAGTGTTCAGGGTGATGAAAAATTGTGTGTGTGTGTGTAATTTTTTTTTTTTTAACCACAATTTTTAAAAGGCACAGAGAAGAGAAAAAGGGAAAGAAAGAGGCATGGAATGGTTCCTCAAAACTAATATCAGTAATTACTATCAGTTATTTTGTAATTACTTTATGGCAGGGACTATGCTGAGAGCTATCTGTACATCCTCCCTGTCATTTTGCAAGCCTGGTTAACTCAGTAGCAGCTACAGAGTTGATAAGCAGTGAGTCCCAGATATGGGCATACCTTGTTTTATTGTACTTTGCAGATGTTGAAGTCAAAAGATTATGACTTCCTTTATTGTAATACTTGCTTTATGGTGGTCTGGAACCGAACCTGCAATATTTTCAAAGTGTGCCTGTACAAACCTTGTTTGTCTAATCCTAAAGTCCTGTGTCATGCTATGCACACTTCCTCCCAGGGGCCTGGGTCTTGAAGAATTCTCTATATCAGATTTTTGCAGGATAGGACAGTCTTAATTTTGTGCACATTTCTTTAACTTTATAGGAGAGAAAGCTCTTATGACCGATACCTGCGAATGGATGACTATTGCAGGAGAAAGGATGACCCTTACTTTGACCGTTACAGAGATAACTTTGACGGACGAGGCCCTCCAGGCCCAGAAAGTCAGTCTCGAGCAAAAGGTAAAGTAACAGAAACAGTTTATTCCTGTTACTAGTAGAACACTTTACAAAAGAAAGAATAAACTAATAACCAATGGAAAAGGGTCTGATGACCTGGCTAAGCAGTTCACAGAAGAACTACAAATAACCTATTACAGATAGAGAGCATTCAGCTTGAAATAATTTTTAAATGCAAATTGGTATCATCATATGGTTTAGTCATTCAGTAAGAAAAAAATACGAAATTCCAACAATAAAATGAACAAAAGATTGGAGCTGAAGTGCTTGCTTTTTTTGCTCATTGACCAAACAGCTACAACTATCTGCATTACCTATGTAGCATGTGGATTTTTTATTTATAGTTTTTACCTAACAGCATCTCTTTTTTAGGTAAAGACAAACGTTTTTTAACAGCCTGGTTTTCTCAATACATCTCTAAAGATTTTTTTAATTGTTTCATACCTAGTCAAGTTAAGAACCTTATTTTTAATTTGTAACAAAACTTTACTACCCGATTTTTTTTTTCAAAAACAAATTGTAAGTGCCTGTCAATAAAGGGTCTTAAATAGTTGTCCCAAAAATGCAAATTAGAATAATGATGAAATACTATCTTTTACCTGTCAAGTTGGTGGGAATTTTTAAGCAATATCCAATGTTGACTAAGACGTGGAAAAATAGCACTAGGTGATCCACCCTTATGGAGGAATGTATCAGTAAGAGCCTTTCTAGAGGGCAGTGTGGCAGTATGTATCAGATGAAACATTCAAATGACCACATCCTTTAATCCAACTGTTCCATTTCCATGAATTTGCAGTAGTGAAAAATAATAATAACGGTTATTTTTAGGAGGTAGTCTAGAGCAGTGGTTCCCTTTTTGGCACCAGGGACCAGTGCTCTTATGAGAATCTAATGCCTGATGATCTGAGGTGGAGCTGAGGCGGTGTTGCTAGCACTGGGGAGCTGCTGCAAATACAGACGAAGCCTCGCTCGCTTGCCGGCCACCCAGCTCCTGCTCTGCAGCCTAGATCCTAACAGGCCGCAGACTGGTACCAGTCTGCAGCCCGCGGTTTGGGGACCCCAGTCTAGAGAATTAATTCAGAGTGCGTATATAATGACAGCCTTTGCCTACAAATAGTTCAGGATTCAAAGTAAGGCCTATGACTTATTTTTATAGAAAGAACAGTCCATATTTCAGTTTTCCTTGGTGGTATCTTGCAGAGCGTTTGAAACGTGAAGAACGACGTAGAGAAGAGCTTTATCGTCAATATTTTGAAGAAATCCAGAGACGCTTTGATGCTGAGAGGCCCGTTGATTGTTCTGTGATTGTGGTCAACAAGCAGACTAAGTAAGAACCCTTTGGATATTTCTCCTGAGTAAGGAGAAGGGTCAGAAGAGAAATTCAGGCTTCCTCTTGGCAGCTGTGCCCACTGCACTAGGTCTGTGCATTCTGGCACTACTGTGCTAACTTAGCCAGCGTTCTTTCAGTTGTAGGTGACGGAAAACCCATTGCAAACTGGCTTAGGCCTCAAAGGGAAATTTTTAGTTTGCTTGGCTGGGAAGTTCATGCATGGCTACATCCAAATTCAAACCATATCATCAAGACTCGGTCTCTGTGTAGCCTTCATTCTCAGACAGGCTTTCTACTCGAAAAGGCAGAATGGCGCTGGCCCTAGACATATATCTTTTTGGCTTAGCAAACCCAGTGGAAAGAGAGCTTTTCCTTCCTAGTGCTTCCACCTAAAGTCCTGGAATGGTCATTGAGCTGACCTGGCTCAGTTTCCCATCCCTGGACCATTCACTTTGGCCAGTGGTGCCGAGGTACTCTAATTGGCCAGGGCTAGGTCATGTGCCCATCCCTAGAACTAAAGGTAGATTAGCCCTGTGGAACCATGAAGACTGAGTGAGAGGACTGCCTTTCCAAAAGAAAATGAAGCAGGAATATATGCTGGCCAGGCTAAGCAATAGATGCCTCCCTCTATGTAACAACCCCGAATCCCCAATACTTTGGAGATTTGTCAGCCAAACCTTTGTGAAGTGCCGTGGCCTTGCAGAACTGTTAAGTGACCATGCTAGTCAATCTAGAGTTCACAGTACCATTTATTCCACCTCTGTTTTACATTCTTTCCTTTAAGAAACAGAGCAGAGAAGCAGAGGGAGTATAGCAGCTTGCAGGCTTGGCAGTAGTGACGTTCCCTTTCCCCGGGTGATTAGTATTTCTAGCAGTTTGAGGTTAAAGAGCTAATTCCAAGGCAGAGGCTAGGGAAATAGGTGTTGAGATACCAAGCAGCAGGCAGAGTTCACAGGCTCTGGGCTGCCTTGTTTAGAGGTAGATGCTGCTTTAACTGTAGACGTATTTTTTTGGTTTTTTGGCACGTTAACAGCTATTACTTTCTGAGCACCTACTCTGTACCACCCCATGCTAGGCACTGTATGTAAATTATTTTTAATCTTCACAATCATGTTACATGTGTATTCATTCAGCAAATTTTTGTATATGTGGCAGATGCAAGGTACTGGGGTTGTAATGGTAAGCAAACACACAGCCTTTCCTCTTGTGGAGATTACACCTTAGTTGGGTAGATGACCAAAATAAATGTATTGGTAATGAGTCCTTTGAGAAGAAATATACCAAGGATCTAATTTAGATTGGAGAGAAGGTCAAGGAAACAGCATACAAGTTGAGCCATGTATTCCTGTTTTATTGGTAAAGAAATTGAGGTTTGTAAGAGGTAAAAGGATCTGCTTAAAGCTTTTCAGCTTTGCAAGTAAAATGTTAAGGCTGGAATCCCAACCCATCCTACTAGCATTAAAGCCCATGCTTTTCCCACTATGTTATTCAGCCTCCCCAAAGACAGATAACGTGCCACAAATCTTAAGCAATAGGATGGTGTTAAGGAAGGACCACTAGACTAGAGAATCAAGAGAAGGACCTGGCTACTAAATACTGTGCTACTAGCAACTTAATATGTGACCATTCTGAGCCAGTATAAAGAGAAGGAAGTGATTAAGATCCTTGAAGCCTGAAGATACTGGTGGGCTAGGATTTGAATTCTCCATAGGAGCACATACAGCTGGCTGAGGTACAGTATTGTGCAGATGAGGAGCTGGTCAGGGAGTGCTCACCTGGATTCTGTTTGTTTCTACAGAGATTATGCTGAATCTGTGGGGCGGAAGGTGCGAGACCTAGGCATGGTAGTGGACTTGATCTTCCTCAACACAGAGGTTTCACTCTCACAAGCCTTGGAGGATGTTAGCAGAGGAGGGTCTCCTTTTGCTATTGTCATCACCCAGCAACACCAGATTCACCGCTCCTGTACAGTCAACATCATGTTTGGGACCCCACAAGGTATGGAGGCCCAAGAGGGTCAGAATTCCAGAGGTGGTCACTAGTCCATTAATTTATGCCTTGCTCAGAATAAGCAGGTGTTGGTCAAATGACTTGTATTTCAGCTCACATATGGTAGGGCCCTTTGATAAGTGCACTGGAGGAGACTAACATAATCATTTACTCATCTGATTTTCTTTTAATGGATAGTTATTGGGCCTGCTATAAGACATTGTATTTAACCCTTAGGTATACATAGTGGTATGCTGGCAAATGTTTAACAATCAGTTCTGGGTGGGGAGATGGCAGTAATGTGGTTTATGTAGCATTTGCTAATTTGCATGGTGTAAATACCCTCACTGTGTCCTATTTCAAGCCACCAACGTGAAGTTACTTCAGGGAGAGTTGGAAAGAGATGCATACAGTCGGCTCTCGCCAGTGAGGGGTTCCAGCACACCTCTGGTACATACTACACTGAGTGCAACAGAATCCTAGCTTTCACCAAACTTTCTAATGAGGGACAGAGAATACAACAGACAATTAGGATACTGTTTGTAAGTGTGCTAGAGAAGTGGGCAGAGGGACCGTGAGGATAGAGAAGAGTCTCTGACCTCTTAGAGACCTAGGGTA